GGGCCGCGTGCTGCCACCCGCTTCTTCCGTAGTAGCCAAGTTTAAAGATTTACCCGGGAAGCATGAGATCTGGGTTAAATGCCCTCCTTAACATCAAGCCGTTCAAACCCACATATCCCGCCTTCCAGGGGAGTGACATAAGCACCAGGCTAACGATGTGCCCATGTGCATAGAGACAGGAGGTCCATGGGGTCAGTGTTGGAAAACAAGAAAGCAGGACACAGGGTACTCATCTCCGAGGGGGAGACCAGGATTCTGATTCAAGTTTGTTCCTGCTTCTTATTTGGGACTGCATCTTTCCCACCTTCCTCTGACCTAGTCATACATACGTGCACATATTTGCTTTCCTCATTAGACTACTTTTTTTATCTACAAATTATTCTGAAAAGCTAAGTGGATATTTTCAGGCTATTTTCATCCAAACACAAGCAGCAACGAAAATGCAACACATTAGTTGGAAATATAATTGGTAAATCATCCTGACCTAGTTAGTTCTAAAACTGGGTATTAAACATGACACTAAGTTAAATGGGAACATAAACTGGGAAACAAAGGGAAATACCTCACCTTTTGATCCATCCATAATTCCATAGAGAAACATATATAATGACCGTGTGCCCATTTGTTGCAATAACTCATAACCATGATACAAAGTAATGCAAAGAGCAAAATCTCCTTCAATTGTGCCTGGCTGTATCCCCTGAGAAATAAAAAACACAGCAAATTAAAAGGGTCAATGAGCAGCTAGAATCATATTGCAATCTTTCGTGCCAAGAACCAGATTAACTTCCTAAAAATGAAACTGTGGAAGCAAACAATGATCAACAGGTGATCTGTTTATTAGAAACCTCAGAAACTAATAAGTTTTTAACGATCAATAAAGGTAACCTTTTCCTCTAAGAGTCATAGAAGAATTCTTGTAAAGGATCCAGCTGGAAACATTCAGTAAAAATATTTTCAAAATCCATGATATTGCATTAGTTAACCTTTGGGAAACGTTAACCATTTTGCCTTATCTACAGCCCAGCATCTGGGACTTGCTTGTTGCACTGTTTGGTAAATTTAGCAGTATGCAAGATTTCCTTCACATCTACCCCAGATACAAATCTCAACTTTAGAAAGTTATCTGATTACTGTAAACTGACTTCTGTTGTTCCTTTTAAGACCCCCACAAATATTCAGATACAAACTATTATTTACGAGTTTGGGTAGAACCATACATGGACTGTACTTCTTAGTGTAACTTACCTCTTTCTGGATAATACAAAGGCCAAAGCACCCATGATCACTAAAAGCCCCATGACAATTTACAGAAAAGTAGGGGCATTTGTTTCATGTTGAGGTCTATATATAAACTGAGCAGTTACATCCTTTTCAATTTCTTATACAGAGTCGACAAGATAAACTATTCTTCACTCTTTTTTCCCCCCTTAAAAATAACCTGTGGTAGTTGCGACAGTTGAGAAACAAGTTAGCACATTTATCCTAGAATTGCATTTCAATGATGATTTCTAGGTATAGTTTGTAAAATAGTAAGAACCTCTGATTTGGGAGTTTTATTTACCACAGGGCAACAAACTCAGTCAGCATAATTATAATAAAAAATAACTTTTACCATATTTCGTGATGGCAGTTTTTTTCTGAATTGGTTTCTTGCTAGAATTATCTGGTATTTTGTAAGGCTGGGAATAGCACACTGTGCCAAAACCTTAATTCTAATCAAGCGGTCAGCAAATGTTTCCAATACCTGCAGGAAAAAACAAAATGCATGTGAAATTTTAAAGACGAAAAATATTATTCCATTACAAAACCACCATTTGTTTGTGTATGAGTACATTAGCTTAATGAACAGCCATCTGCCGAGATAACAGATAAAAATAGAATATGATTGACCTTCTTATGCTGACAGTTTTGTAAGATAGGATTCTCTTTGCAATAGAAATTATTTGATGATTAAATTCATTCCAGAATAATAAATAGGGTTACAGGTGGGCATTTGTTGTTTTGCCAAATGCCCACCTGCAACCCTATTAAATCCAACTACAACGTTCCCCATTACCAGTTTATAAGGGTCTTCTGGGCAAAGTAATTTTTTTTTAATGTAGTTCTGTTCTTACTCATTATGTATACCTCTGTTCCACTTCAGCGGAATAAGGGAAGTGACATGGACTAATTCATTTAAATCCTGCTTTTCTTTGCCAAGGGGTTCGGGGTCCCCCCGCCCCCCACACACACACACACTCTGCTGTGTACAAGCTTTAAATTAATGGAGTAAATCAGATTTTCTCTAAGCATGTGACTTCCAGATGGCCATCCCACTTGGCTACTAGTATTAAAAACAACATAGCACTCTATATCATCGTCACACAGTTTCTTTATAGATGTCTTGGCCTTAATTTGACAAGAGCCCAATATCTTGTGTACAATGTTCATAATGTTTACCATCAGTTCAGCTAACCTGCTGTTGAAAGTTCACAGGGTCTGTATTACTGTAGCTCCTTCTTCTACTTACAAGCTTCCTGCAGGGTCATAGGAGCCAAAGGCTGGGAAAGAAATATTAATCATAACCTAAACTCCTCTGCAGAGATTTTCCAACTCCAGCTGCAAGTCTCAAGGAATCACCAATGGGAAGTGCAGTTTGAAAGAGTAAAGAAAGACTGTGTATGGTCTTGCATACTACATGCCCATAATAAGCAGCCCACCTTGCTTTCGGAAGGCAGAAGGTAGAAATTAGATTAGAAAGTTAAATGTAGAAAAAAAGAGGTTTCCACAGTTTTGGTCAAGAGTGCTGTATGAAGCAGCTCGCTCACCGACTCAGCTAGCTCGCTGCCTGCCTAAGGCAAAAACTGTCATGTTATATAGTTTTGAAAGTGTTATATAGCAAATTAACAGAGACTGTATGAGCTGGGTCAAACCTGCTGTTTGCTGGCCCAGAGAGAAGCAGCAGCCGTTGCAGCATAGCATCTCCGTATTTCTATTCCAGAGAAGAAAATCAGCTTCCCTGCTTAAGACATGCACCCCAATTTTGGAAAGCTGCTGGGGTGCCTATACACATGCTCAGGGTTGGGGACGGGCTTTTTAATTAGAGCAGTTCCTGGAGAGCCACTCTAATTGAAACACTGCAGTGTCATATGCATTAAGCCCCCGTGCATTTAGAAATGGCCGCAGGATACTTTAACTAAAGCTCAGTCGAGGAGCTTTCATTAAAGCACCCCAGTGGCCTTTTTTAAACCCACAGTGACTTATACGCATGACACTGCAGCGATGCTAAAGCGCTCAAATTACGATGTGGAGCAGAACGGATTCATCGAGTCTGCTCCAATGCGTTCTAATTCAAACGCATTGGAGCATGTGTATAGGCACCCCTGATTTTTGGGAAAAGCATATATGTGGGATGCGAGTAAATACATTAGGTTGGAGTTTCAGAGCAATAAATCTCTGTAGGCTTTGCTGGGTGGATCTCGAAGAGTTAAATCAGGAAATCCTCCTGAAGAGGGTGAAGGTTGTAGGATTATTTCAGGATGTAACAGCTAGAGACAACAAACTTGTCTGAAGATTGGTTATTTAACTGCTTGCTACCAAGTTCCATGCAGTTAAAAAAAAATCTTTTTTTTTATTTTTAAAACAACAGAAGTAAATCTGAAAAAACTCATTTAATAGCTTGTCTGTAAAGCAGTCAGTCTAGATAACATTTCTTTTGGAGCAAGGAATGATTGGCTGGTTTGAGGAACTAATCACTTAAGATTAACTGTACCCTCTTTAAAAATATACATACACACTCATTAGGTAGGCAGGCTGTCTATTTCCCAATTGTCCTTAGTTACCCTTTTCAACACATTTAAGATCATTCCGTTTCAAAATGGCTGACTTAAATAGCATGCAGCTTGCAAATGAGGGTTTAGTAGTGTGTTATATGAAAGCAGTAAATACTTCCCAATTAGAAAGACCAGGTCTCTCCTCCTCATCATCTGTTTCCAACTAATCAACCCCCAAGTTCCCACAGAAATTCTTGCTACTAATCCTCTTGTACTTAACACCTTGCACTACTGACCTTGTACTTTTATCCTAGTCCTATTTTTCAGTCCTTTATTTCAGTCCTCAAGTCATGCAGTACTTTTTTGCATAACAACCTGATGCTCCTGCGTGCAGGATGCTTCCTAGTTTTGTATCTAGCGCATGCTGAGGCTGAGCTTTGTCACCAGCACATTTCATCAGTAAGCTTCCACTCTCTTCATTAATGGTACTATTAAACAAGATCAGTGCCAAGACTAATCTGTAAGGAATGCCACTCACAGCCTGCCAGTTGGATACCTCTCCTTTCAGTGCTACCCCTTGCCTTCTCCCTTTCAGCCAGTTGTTTACCCATCCTAAAATCTCTTTATCAGTCAGCAATCAGCTTCTTTTCTTCTGCTAATTGTGTGCCTGCTTCCCCTGGGAATCTCTCTCACCCGCTTTCCTCCTGTTTTTCACTATGCTGTGCCTGGCTCCCTGTGATCAGAGACCCCAGGAAGACTTGTCTAACTTTACACTAGATCCACAGTTGCTCCAATAAAAGATCTCCCCCACAAAAGAAATCCTTGCCTCTTATTAACCCCCACAACCTTTGCTAGCTGGCAAGGCTAGAGAGGCTGGGCTGAAACTTTCTTTTGCTAACTCCCAGCCCTTGTGTTGTCCTCACCCCAAATCACCAGCAGTTCCTTCCCACCCCCTCCCAGAGACAGGGGCTGGGCAGGGCAGAGAGCAGGGATCAGCAGCCTGGGCACTCCAGCTTGCCGGGACACTTGGGGAAAGGCAGCAGCCTCCTGGCCAGGGCAGATGCAAGCAGGGGAAGAGGGCAGGAGCTGGGCACCTGGGAGACTGGGGGAAGGTGGCACCTGTGCTGGCATCCCCGTTCATCCAGCACTTCGGGGTTGCTCCCAGCATGCCAGGCCCCATCTCTAACCCTCCAGTTCAACTCCGCCCCGTCAGAGGCGGGGAAGCCCTTTGGAATAAGCCCAGGATGCATGTAAGCAAGGGCAAGGCAGGGGCTCCATAAAGCAGCAGCGGGAGCACAGCACAAGGCAGCCAGGATGCAGCAGCAGCAGCAAGGGGAGGAGGCGGGCGGCTGCCAGCTGAGTGGTGTGGTGAGCGAGCTGGGGCCCCCGGCATTGCTCACACTGGAAGACCTGGAGAGGCTGGATGAGGAGGGTGACAGCCCCCGCCCCGCCGATGGCCCCGAGGATGACATGGAGCAGGACCGGCTGCTCCACTACTGGCAGAGCGTGGGCAGAGGGCACCGTGTGGATGTGCCCCGCGGTAAGAGCCGGGGCGCGGGGTAGCGGCTTGGGGCTGAGCCAGGCTGGTGACTGGGGCAGGCTGCCACTAGCCTCGGGTCAGATCTGAGCCATCCAGGACCCCTGGGAGAGCTGCAGCCAGAGGTCTGAGCCCCAGCAGTGCCCCCATGGGAAGACGACTCTGGCATGGGGGTGCTGAGCACCAGGGGCCAGTGCCAGAAACGGGGGCTGTCCCTAAGATGGACGGATGCTGTTAAGAGTCTCAGCAACTGAGCCCGTCCCTAGAAGTCTCTTTTAAAGGTGCCCCCTCTGGAGAGGCTTAATCCTCATAAAGATCCGCTCTGTGCAAAGAACGGCAGAGGCAGGCACAAAACTGAGGAAGACCAAGTTCAGCGAACCAGAAAAGGCCAAACTGTTGACTCTGCCCAAATGCAGCAAATCTGACAGGTTTATTTTAATGTTCTCCACTTGCTTTTCACTTGATTCAAGAACGTAAGAGCTGCCATTTACAGGTCAGATCATAGGTACGTCTTGCCCAGTCTCCTGTGCAATGCAGAGGCAGAGGGCGGCTGGATGCTGAAAAGGAACTGGGTCTAAGCAGGGATTTTTCCTCCACCGTTCCTCTCTCCCTCGCAGCCTTTACTGTTTACAATTCTGATTCAGAGGCCGTGCCCCTCACTCACCTGCTCACTAGCTACCAATGCCCCTTTCCTCCAAGAATGTGTCCAACCCTTTTTGAATCCAGCTAGACTGCCAGCTTCCACCTCATCTTGTGGCAATGAGCTCCGCATCTGAATCCTACGCTGGGTGAAAAAGGACCGCCTTTTGTTAGTTTTAAACTTGCTACCGACTAGCTTCATTTTGTGACCCTGAGTTCTTGTGTTGCGAGAGAGAGTAAACAATAAACCCCTCTCGACTTTCTTCACCATTTAGTATTTTTTAAACACTTTTCATGTCCCCCCCATAGCCATCAGCCAATGTCCTAAAATACTGGAATTTGAATGTGCAGTTTTTACTAAGAGTGACCCACTGTTTGGAATAAAATACAGAAGGGATGTTTTTGCCACAAAGGTTAGAAATTATACTTTTCACAATAAGGCTTATTTAACATAAAAGGGACCAATGATAGTTCCCAACTGAATTCTTAACCACAGATTTGTACTGAAGTTTTGGAAGAATGATTCTTGCAGACTCCCTTGATTTTTCATGCACCGCTTCCCAAAGCACTTAGCACATATACAGCTATTTTTTCAGTCTCTCCAAATTAGCTGGTGTATAATTTGCTGTTTGGTATCTTTCCCATTCTAGGGAAGAGAGGGAAAGCATCTGGCCTTAGTTAAAGGATGAATCAGGAGTACAATCCATGTGTGCAGATAAATACTGTTTCTTTACATGCTTTAGTTGAAGTCAAGCAGAGGGTAGGCTGGAGAAGTTTCTAATAGAAGCTGTATTTTGAAGTGCATAAGGTTTCAGGAATACTGCAGTTTCCCCCTTCTTCTATTCAGTTCTTCTTTCCAAGTTCAAAGGAAGTGCCTGATTCTTGTCCATTGTCAGCTGTCATGATGCCAGATGTAATGCCCCTTAAATACTCATAACTCGGAGGTAGAGAAAATGCAGGGCTCTGTCACTCTACGAAGCCCAATACAGTTAAAACAGGAGCTCCTCAGATTCCAAATTGCAATACATCTTTACAGAAAAAGCTGGAAAGCTTACATTGGCTCAGTAGTCTATAGACCTGGGAGTAAAGCTACTGCATCGTTTACCTCTGGGGATAAATGAACATTTCATTCCAGAAAGACTGCTTTCTGAAGTAGAGTACCAGTTCGACATGATCATCACACCTTTTCCCCACCTCCAAGCACCTACGTGGCTTTGGAGCCCATTAATAGCCACGCGTATATTTACATGGACCTCAATATGCTTAAATTAATAATGAATGAAAAAGATTTCCATAGAAAACATGATCTCCAAATTAATTGGTCCAGGAGTAAAAGCTTCTTGGTAGATGCAATCAACAGATCCTGATAAATTCTGCTCCTCTGGACAATGCAAGGCAGCAACCCATTACTCCGAAAATACTACTTTTGTTGCCTATTACTTGACACTGCATGTACACCATCAATCTGAAGGCAACAAAGATTTTGCGATGCTGCATAGGAGTGAATATGCCTTTATACCAGACCACAAGCAACATTTAAGATCTAAGGAGGTTGCCCTTAGATGACAGAAATTGTTTGTGCATTTGGAATTTAAGAAACAGTTGATCATCCAGATTCTCCAGAGACTCAAAATGAAAAATGCACCAAAGAAGATAGAATATCATTAAAACTGTAGAAGAACGACAGGCAGAATAAGCCAAAGAAGGACCTGGCAGCATTTCTAAACCAATGGGAGACAAGTAATGTTCAGAGGGATACCATTTATTAGAATAAAGTTACTTCTTCATTATGTGGCAGATTCTTTACTATTGTCAAGAGTAGCTGGATCCCAAGTCAGCCCAGTCTGTACCCAGTGAGCTATGCCAAAAGCTGAACAAATACAAAGATGAAGGAAATACATTAATTAGAACTACAGGAAGAGAAGTCTTAAGTCTTTCTTTCCTCTGAAACAATTCCTTTGCTAGCAGTTATTTAGAGGAGCAGGAAACTTTACACAGTATACATCTGAGATGGAAGTCAGAATGAAGCGACAGAGGAAAAGCTTCAAGGACACCCTCCCCTCAATGCAAACATTAAGCTTTAAAAAGTCCCAAAACCAAACTTATCAAGATCACCTATGAAGCATCCAGTTGCTAAATTTAAGAAAAAATAGCTAAGGTACTTATGCAATTACAATATAAAAAGCAGCATGCTCATCCTAAGATGCAGCATCCAAGGTCTAAACTGTTTAAGGTTCCTATTCGTGCATCTTACCTAGGTCTGCATCTGCCACGGACATCCTCCTGTCCCTTCCTTAACAAAGCCTCACATGAGTTTTGATTAGATGCATGACACTAAAAATCTCATCAATGTACATGCTAGTAACACCAACAATGCTAAACCAAGTGCTGTCAGATGCATCAGCTCACTACACTCGTTGACTGAAGTCCCTCTAAAGGCTTGCTTCTTCTATGATACCAATATGTAGTGCCAGCCAATTAAATTTAAAACATTTAATTAACAGAACTATCAAGGTATACAAATGCCAATTAAGAGTTATCATCTGTTTTCCTGCAACCCAACCTATTTTCTTCCCAAAGTTACTTCTTTTGTTAGGTCGGGTGTGAACTTGGGTCACCAGCTTTCCAGGACAAAGGCCAGGTAAATCATACTGTTAGATATATTGTACAATAGTTGTCATAGAATAATGCATCCAACACAAATGTAAATATTTAAAAGCAAGGCTGTTGATTTTAGCAACATCCATGTAAATTCAGTTCCCTAACTTGAGTGGTTTAGCTTACTTTCTAAAAATTTTATTTTAGCTCCTGGCTCGAACAAAGCTCCTACTATATAAACCTGTGGTAATCCCAACTCTTCTCTGCAGCTGTGAATCTTGGGTGACCTAGGGACCACCTAAAATCCTGGAAGGCCATTGCCAGTGCTATCTCCGAAAGATCCTTGGCATAAAAGTGAGAGGATCATTCATCACACAAATGCTAATGTCCTTACTGACACCAACACCACCAGTATGGAAGCACTGATTATTCAACATCAGCTGTGGTGGACAGGGCACTGTGTGCACATCTTATGTACATTTACCAAAGGGACTGCTATACTCCCTACTCAGTCAAGGACAAAAGGACACGCAGAGGCCAGAGGAAATGCTTCAAGGACACCCTCACTGTGAACATTAAGTGTGGCATTGACACCACAAATTGGGAAAAACTAGCCTGAGACAGGGCTACATGGTGACACCTTGTGAGAGAAGGCACATCTTATTTTGAGGAAAACTGTCTTGCCCTGGAGGCAGAAAAGTGATAGAAATGGAAGGAAGGAAAGAAAACAAGACAGAGTAATCTGTGGTCCAGCCCTCCCTTTAACCACCACCCATGGCATTTACCAGAGGGTCTGCAGCTCTAGGATCAACCTTCGTAGCCATCAATGGACTCATTTACAACCCTTTGCTTCACCTGTGGGAGTGATCAACCTTGACCATGAGGGATTGCTGCCACTGCCAATGAAACATGATACATTTCAATGAAAAACAAGGAATTGTTTGGGGTTGGGGTTTTTTTTTTAACCACTCTCTCTCTCACTTCAAATTTTTTTTTTTTTTTTTTAAGGGAGTGAAAAAATAGGGCTTACAAAGAATGTCTTCTTCAACCTTTTTCTAGAGACCAATTCCAATATATCAAAAGCCTTATCCTAATTAAGTTTCCTTCCTACACTCACAAGACAGTCAATTGAGGGTACTGTAATTATTCAGTATGGCATAACATGCATAGCAACAATTTAGCTTTGAAATACATCTACTTTAATATTAAGCCTTACTGCCAACTAACACGTTGTAAATCAGCCTCAGATGGCAAAGTACAATTTGATATTTGAATTAACAAAACTTGAGGTTCAAACCAAAGGTGAATCTTAGCGAATTAATATTAAACATTTTCAGTAACAGAGTTCCCATCAGTGAAGATGACAAATGCAACTCACACATGAAAAAGCACATCTTAAGGCATGCATTAACTTCACTGAATAGCATGCAAGGGAACTACTGAAAAGACTGAGAACAGCTATTTTTACAAAAGGAATTTAAAATTGTAGTCTGCAACATAACTAACTCTTACTAATAAGAATCCACATACTGAAAATCAAACGGTCACTTTCTTTCCAGTAACTGTGGCTCTTAAGGATGTGTCGTCCAGTTCCCATTCCTGCCATGCACGTGCCTCCCCTCACTGCATAGTTCTTTTGAACAGCAGTGTCCGATCAGGCCACAACACCACCACAAATTCCTCTGTGCCCCAGTAACAGAAGACAAAGAATGGGGCAGCCACAGCCTACACTCAGGTCCTTCAATAGGAAATCTCTAGCAGTACAA